CTTCTTCCTGTCTTTTTTCTCCTGTACCTCCCCTGCTCCTAATGTTCCCTCGCCCAGTGGATTCTTCCTTTCCTCTGATGGACCTTCTGCTTTCCTCACTGGAACGTCCACTTTAGACAACTCTGGCTCTTTATTTTCAGGCTCTCCCATCCCTTTTCTAGTCTGAATCTCAGATTCCTCACCCAGACCTATCTCTACCTTCCTGGTTTTCTCTGTGACTCTTCTCATCTCTCTATCTTCCTCTTCTCCCCAGAAAGTTGTCACTTCTGTGATGGGTCATGTGTTCTGCCTCTGGAGATTTAGTGGCTTCTCCCTGCTCTTCTCAGGAAAGGACAGCATGCCAGTCAGGATGGGTTCAGCCCAATTGTAGATGATCATGGAACAAAAAAAAGGCTAATTGCCTTAAGAGAGAGAACAAAGGAGTCGACAGCGGATGTCGGAGCCAGCGGAGCCCACTGCCAATGCCCTGAGGGCCCTTTTTATTGACTTAGCATGATTACATAATATGTTATGAGAGAAACAGATAGGATACTAGTTAGGTAGGATTGGCTACAATAACCCTTTGATCTTATGCTCTACCTTTAAGTGAAAGGGCAGAAGAAGGGGCTACCCTGCCTGCTGACAGCTGCCACATCTTGCCAGGAGGGTATGCACATCACTGAAACAGAATGCAGCTACAACCTTTAGGCAAGAGTTTCCCACATTTCCCCTTTTTGTTTGTGTGTTAAGCAAAGGCACATATTCTTTCATATATTTGCGAAAAAAATATGTCTTTTTGGCAAAGGCCTGAGGACGAAGCTTTGAGACAGGTAGTTATCATGGAAAAGAAGGTTGGTATACATTGAATAAAGCAACAGGAACTTATAAGGATTATGAGGAACATAATTCCATACATTTACATAATGCAAAGCCATCCAAAGTGGGGTAGCCATGACCACAAACTGTCCCACCAGGAAGGAAGTATGTCCCTTTGTATGTTATTGGCAAGCTGTCTAAACTGAGCAATCTGATTATTTACTGCATGCCTATTATTAGATAAGTTAAAGCAACAGAGATTGGCAAAAGACTCACAACTGATGTGATTACACAACATGAGATAATCCAGTGCTGTGTGGTTGTCTAAAATAGCATCATATAGCTGTTGTTGTCCCTGATTCAGCAGGGCAATAGCAGTGGAAGTGTGGTTAATGGCTGTAGCTAAGGTGCACGCAATGTTGGCAAGAGTGTGAGAATTATGAACAGCAAGGCCAGCTGGCAATACAGCCAGCAAAACATATTCTGCTTTGGATAACAAAGTAACATTATCATCACAAGTACTATCAAGAGATAAGCTTTCTCGTCTCAGCCGAGTCGAGGAGTTTTGCAAGGCAAAAGGCTGTATCCTGAATAAGTATCAATAGTTAGATGGACATAAGAAAGAGGAGCAAGGGAAGGAACATCAAAACGAAAGGAAATGGGAGACATGGAACAGGAAGAGCAGGAGGAGACAAAGTCTTGAGCTTCAGAAAGCAGAACAGAAAATTGCTAATGAAATTGTTTAGCACTCTGATGAAAAAAATGAGTGACTGTCAATAGGACTGAAAAAGAGGGGACATAAAGAATGAAGAGCAGATTAAACATGGTAATTTCCTTCTGAGATAAGTGAGGTTTTTTAAAGTCAAAAACAGGAAATGTAAAGAAAAATCAAGGCAGAGGTCTGAGTAAAGCAGGTTTTGCAGGTTCTGGAAGGTTGCTGAAGGGTAATCACACCTCTGGTAGGCGCACCATCAGTAAAAATAGTTAGCGCATCAGGGGGATGAGTAGCAGTGAAAGGAGAGGGAAAGCGGAGGCGTACTTGCTGAATGTGTATTCAGATGATCCTTGCGATCGAAACTCCTTCCACATTCCATGCATATATATGGTTTCTCTCCTGTATGGGTTCTTTGATGTGACCTAAGGCCACCACTCTGTCTGAAGCTCTTCCCACATTCCATGCATATATATGGTTTCTCTCCTGTATGGGTTCTTTGATGTGACCTAAGGCCACCACTCTGTCTGAAGCTCTTCCCACATTCCATGCATATATATGGTTTCTCTCCTGTATGGGTTCTTTGATGTGACCTAAGGCCACCACTCTGTCTGAAGCTCTTCCCACATTCCATGCATATATATGGTTTCTCTCCTGTATGGGTTCTTTGATGTGACCTAAGGCCACCACTCTGTCTGAAGCTCTTCCCACATTCCATGCATATATATGGTTTCTCTCCTGTATGGGTTCTTTGATGTGTATTCAGATGATCCTTGCGATTGAAACTCCTTCCACATTCCATGCATTTGTAAGGATTCTCCCTTGTGTGAGTTGTTTGATGTGACCTAAGGATATTGCTCCAACTGAAGCTCTTTCCACATTCCATGCATATATATGGTTTCTCTCCTGTATGGGTTCTTTGATGTGTATTTAGATGATCCTTACGACTGAAACTCTTTCCACATTTCATGCATTTATATGGTTTCTCCCCTGTGTGAGTACTTTGAAGTGACCTAAGGGTAGTGCTCCAATTGAAGCTGTTTCCACATTCATTGAATTCATATGATTTCTTCCCAGTGTGAGTTTTTTGATGTAACCTAAGGAAACTACTCCGACTGAAGCTCCTTCCACATTCCATGCATTTATATGGTTTCTCCCCTGTGTGAGTACTTTGAAGTGACCTAAGGGTAGTGCTCCAATTGAAGCTGTTTCCACATTCATTGAATTCATATGATTTCTTCCCAGTGTGAGTTTTTTGATGTAACCTAAGGAAACTACTCCGACTGAAGCTCCTTCCACATTCCATGCATTTATATGGTTT